CTATACTCGAGCATCCGAAGAATACCCTAAAGACTTGGGTACCTGGATAGTAACAGAGTTGTAGGTAGCTAGATATGGATACTACTAATACATAGAAATTCATTTGTATGAAAGTTATGTGCAAATAAATACTGTTGCAATAAAGTTTACGGGGCGATCTTTAATGATTATAAGAATCCTTCACGTATGGAAACTTACATAAATATTGTACATCCTTTATTTATAGAGAATCCAATGAACTTTAAGGTATATTTTTACATATGGAAGTATATGTATATATCTGCACACACAGCATTATACTTGACAAATTTTCCAGTATTTATATTTATATGTTACACGACGTAGGATAATATAGTCAGCTACATCTAAATGTGTAGACAGGACGTAAGGGAGCTAACAAGTCGCCGGTGAGCTTTAGCCTTTGAGAAGAGAGTTCTGTCGTAATGCCGTCCTTGCATATATTTAGTCTAGGCGTTGATAACGACATGCATATTTTAAGTCGGCCTAAAAGGCGATAGTCTTCAAGGAAGCAACTTAACCCTGTGAGAAGTAAACTATGAGAAGACATTTTCTCGATAAAATTTTGTTCCATATTTTCTATAAGTAAACAGATATAGATATGTTTATCTAGGATTTCCTTCTGATAAAATTTAATAAAAATTTATACAATTGTTAGTACTAGTATATAAAAGCTTTACGTTATATTAAAAACTTTATATATGATCACTATGCACTATTAAGTGTTACCCATTATAGTTATTATGATACTAAGCCTTATTAATCATATGTTAATATTATTAGCGATATTTTTAGATACTTTCAAGGCAGACAAAACCAGGGGACTCCCATAGGAATATACGAAATTTTCCATTTTACCATGACGAAAGTATGAAATTATTACTGCTGTGTTACGAAGAGGGACGTTCGTTTGTTTCGTTTCTTCTCGCGCGGTATTGCCAATCTCGCTATTGAGTATAGAGAAAAGAAATCGAGTTTAGTATGATAGATTGGGCGGGTTGACAGCATCACGACGGTCTTTCCGTCTCCTGTCTCGCTCCAATCTTAACTAAGGGTGGTCCACACCGGGTGCGTCCCCATAGAGACCCTCTATTCTGGACCCCCTGAAGCACGTTGCAGAGGCATGGAGGGAAAAAGGAACGCTATTGTAAGTTCTCGTCCAACCAAAAAAGTTAACCAACCAAAATCTATCGAAATAGCCCCACCACTCTGCTCCGCCCATCTCGTTATTTCTCTCGAATTTTTCGTGTTATAACGATCACGTTGCGTGCTGTAACACTTTCATCAATTCTAAATGTAGCCATGTTTAATTAATTGTACGAACTACATCTTGTTAAAAATTATCACTTATGTATTTAATGGTTTAAATAATGCGCTTACTACATAGTGTGTGAGATTGTTTAAAAATGAGGTAGTTTCCATTTCTATTTCTTATATTGGCATACAGATAACGTATATGCAGCTGCAAAGTGCAGTCGTTTAAAAATAGATTAAAATGCATATTTTCACTTTAAATTATAGCTATTATAGGAGATACTGCGTATAGTAGTTGTTACAAAGAATGCTACAAAAATGTCATAAAAATGTAATCACGAAACACTATAAAATTACATCTATAACAACAAATTGTAGTTGTAGGAGAGGTTTTGTCTAGAAAAATTGGATTGTACGTGATGTATTAGAAAAACATCAAGATGTAACAGAAGTAAAAAGAGAGGGGTTAAATGGGGGTGACAAAGTTTCATTTCGTCGGTTTGCATGTTCCGCTGCAATAAACGTCAGTCCCTCTAGTGCCTACGCTGGCGTTATTAATTCGATTATAATGAGCTATTAAGTGAAACGCTGGTAATCCTGACAAGCTCCATCCAACGACTAAGCTCGCACTCACTCTCTGAGTTAGAAGATTGCAGGGAGCACCGCGGCTGTTAAGCAAATTAGTGTGAAGTTAGGGGAACCGTTCCGACCTTTTTAGGCATTATTTTCAGTGGGCTACACTACGTCGCTTTTATGGTCATCAACTCGACATTGAATTAAGTTGTTTCCCTGACTAGTATTTTTAAACTAAGCTGTTAAACTTTGCAGTCGTATTTCTTCATAAATTTTAGGACAATATTTTTTTAATGAAAATGCCGGGATGTTAATAGTCTCTCGATTACAAGCGATTTATTGATGTTGGCGTAATATTTTAATTGAGTTGAATTGTGTGTTTGAACGACTACAATTGAGGAATATTAACTAAAATATTCTCTCAAAAACTATGCTGTATAATTTATAGGAAAAATAGATAACGAAGATATTTATATCCTAATAAACAAGGAAATAAACAAGTGTCATGTTTTCCTCTTAATTGAGATATTGAGTTTTTATTCACACGCAAATACACTTGTTTAATAAATGAATTATCTTATCAGCGTCACGAATTAATCTGATAAATTTGAGTGCAAGACGGTTCTACTTAATCGTGAATCTTATCTGTTAATGTTTCCGCTACTATTGTACAATCTAAATCCCGTAATACGTCATTTGTACATGTAAAGATTATGGATTGGGATTCTACATTCACAGTATTTATAAACACGTTTATGTATAATCCCGCAGCTTATGATATCCTACACGTGAGAGAACAGTTTTTATTATTTTCCTGCGATTTAAATCTCTCTTATCTGAAGATTTTCGCATAAACAAATATCATGCAATTCAAATTTTTAGGTACATATATTCAAATATTTAATATATAATATACAGCAAAAAGTGCACAATAAGATTGCATTTAATATCATTTAACAATAAAATTTTCAATTGTTTAAGTAGAAGTATATATAGATATGCGGTGAATTTAGTTTGAAATGCATATTTTGTGTAACATTGGAACACATTGATACAACAAGCGAGTTTTTTGTATCCAAATAATTGATTGTACAAGAAATTAAAATATTTTTTGTCGCTTCTTTTCTGCAATCTTATCTATTGAATGTGTGATTATCGTATAGCTGTAAACGAAAGTCGAATTGTAAAGTAAGATAACACGTGAGATGAGATAAGTTTCCACATATTTCCCACAAATATCTTGTTAGAAATGTTCTTTATCACTGAATCAATATGTGTTGTGTTTAACATTATAATAAATTATAATAAAATTGTAAGTAATAATGCAAGTCTCTCTTATTGTATTCATTTATAATATTAATTATATTATAATCATTTTTTGTAAAAAATATTATGTGCATTGATAATAAATTTAAAGAGAAATTTCAAAATTATAGAGAAGAGAATATTATTTAATCGCTTGCGTGCTAACTTTTAAGATGGCTCATAAATTTAATAAATTGAATTTAGTTTCTTAAAACGATCTAAATTTAAATCATATAATTTAGTTAACACTTCAGAGACATGTAAATTTTTCAGCATTTCTGAATCACTTTAATATCGCTAAAAAATGGTTTAGACAGCATATACCCACGTGTTCAGAATTAGAATACTAAAAAGACGTGTCGAAGTTAAAGGTTAAAGATATGTACGAAAATCTTGATGAGATATACGAAAAGAAATGTAGTAGCAAATCGCAAATTGCGTATATGATTAATGATTAGAGAGCGAATCGAGATTATGTGTCACGTTTTATTAATTCTGATATATACAGATCGTTTGAGAGTCAACTATCTCAGTGATCACCAAGTAGCATGTTACATTTTGCTTCTGACAAATTGTCTGCCTTGTTTATTAATCTTATCTTTTTAGACAGGCGTGCATTCTTTGGTCATTTCGTACAATTCGAAACTTATAACTTTATCATATTAACCAATGTTGGTTCGTTTAGCAAAATAATGTCATTCTTGTTTTGCCATTATAGTGGCTTTCTGCTTATGTCAAAATTTTGTTTTGATAAGTTTAGTTCTACATTACTTAGAAAATAATTAATTTTTGAATATAATTTCATGAAGAAACAGAAATCGTAGAATATGTGATAATTGAGGTTAATTGAATATTATCTTCATAAGAATTGTTGATCTCTTTCTTTCTCTCAAACCTCTCTTCGATGTTAGTCTAGTGTAACATCAATGTGCTGAATTTATGTAAAGTGCTCTCAACGAGTCCCGATTGGATTAAATTGTGCTTCCAGGAACTGAGGTTCCTTATTGCCTTGTTAGAGATCAGCGGATAAACGTTCTTTATGTGTTTTGAATGAGTCTTCTAATCGTTAAAAGAGAGAAAGAGGGGGAGAGAGAAAGGGAGAGAGAGAGAGAGAGAGAGAGAGAGAGAGAGAGAGAGAGAGAGAGAGAGAGAG